TGATGTGAAAAATGTTGGCAAAACATGAAAGTGGGATTTTGTGGGTTTGAGGTGTGGTCGAGGCATGAGGCGGTGTGGCATGCGGGAGAAGGCCTCCGGGCCGGGCGCGGGGCTGCTGTCGCCCGTCGGGCCGGGTGGTGGCGGTGCCCCCAGAGCTCTGGCTGCTGGGACAGCTCCAGCCTGGGTACAGGCTGGTGCTGGCTCTCAGATGCCGCCCGAAAATGCAGCGTGGCCGCCCCCCACCTCCCGGGCCGGCTTGTCCACCACCGCCTGTGTCGCTGAGGACAGACTCCTGCAACCCCAGCCCGGGAGTGCCTCCCACCTGCCTTCTAAGACCCTGGTGAGTCTGCTTGGCAGGGTTCAGCACCTGTCCCGACCCTGTTGTGATAGGGGGACAGGGCGCACACACAGGCAGGGCGAGGAGGCACGCATCCCCAGGGGCCCCTTCCAGGCTCCACACCAGTGATGGGGCCTCGTCTGCGTGCACTGGCTCTCGCACGTACCAGCCGTGTCCCCCACTGGGTCCCCTCACTTCCCAGCCTCAGTTTTCTCAGCTGTGAAATGGGTCTGAGGTGGAATCAGGAGCCAGTAAATGCAGCCGCAGACCTCCCTTCAAATATCTCTGTAAATGGCAGAAAGGCTTTTCAAAAGGAGAGCAAGAAAGGTGGCCCTCAGCGGAAATCCCAGAGTGGCTGCATGAGGCTGCCAGCAAGGGGGAAAACCGTGTCCCAAGCACAGGGCGGGCCTCCGCGCCACCTGGTGCTGCCTGTTGGGGAGCCCCAGGCTGCCCGTGCCCGGCCTGGGCACCTGGAGACAGAGCTGCCCCTGCCTGGGGGCTGCGGCTGCCTGTCCCCTTAGGGGGTCCTGCGGAGACCCCTCCGATTCCTGTGAGCAGTGCGGGCATGGGCTCTTCACACCCCACTGCAGCTCTAGGATGAAGACAGGGGGCCCCAGCCTCCTTGCACCTCCCCTTGCCCTTGGCCCTCTACCGGCGAGCCCCAAGAGATGCACTCAGTGTCGGACCCCAGACTTTGTCAACAGGATGGCTCTAGAATCCAGACATCACTGTTCGCATTTCTAGCGCGCTGGCCATGCCCCGAAGTCACTCTGGCAGAGCCTGGGGCCAGGCTGAGCTCACGCCCTGCCCGGGGGTTTCAGTGGTGGGAGGAGCTCCAGGCCAGCCCTGGGGACCGTCCCCACGTGCAGTCCGAACGGTGACGGCTCTGCCTATGGCTTCCCGCACACGTGCCCCGGAGGGCTGCCCATCGTGGCTGTTCAACAAGATGCTGGTGGCTGCTTCTTCCGGAATGCATCCCTGCTTCCCTCTTTTTCCTTCTTGGGGAAGGAGACCCCATTTCTGCACACGACCATGTCTTCCAGCTTCTCGCCGCACCCCCTCCCCAGCCCCCCACCTCGGGAGCCGCTCCCTCCTGCCCTGCGGATGCTGCACCTGCGACGCCGTCCCGGGGAATCTACCCACGTGGTCACTCCTGCATCCCGTTCAGCCCACCTGCACGGAGTCCTGCTTCCCTAACCTCCCACCTGTGCCATCTGGGCACTGGTTCCCATTCTGGAACTTTCCTTCACCACCATCTTTGGTTGGAGCCACCAGTTGTGATTCTGATCTCCTGTGTCGGGGGTGACTCCCACGGGCACACCTCCAGGACAGCACCTTCCTCTACTTTTCCCAGTGTCCCATGCAGCTACGCCAGCTCATGTGACCAGTGCCGGCCAGTGGGGCCTTCCCGCCTCTCCTGGCCGTGGTCGAGGCTCCGACGGTGCAGACACGTGGCAGCGGAGAGCCGGGAACCTCACGGTGCTTCACCTGGTGAGGACTAACCTTCGGTGGCAGGAAGCCACTGACATTTGTGGCACCCTGTGCCCCTCCTCCTGCACAAAGCGCAGCCAACAGAATCCAGGCTGAGTGGTCTCCCCAGGATCACGGAGGGCAGACTCTGGGCCAGGGCGCACGGCTACGGGTGAGAAACTGGGAAAGTGTCCTAGGATCTTTCCTGCGACGCCCGCGAATTTCCTCACACAGTCAGACCCGCGTGATCCGGTCTCCGGGGCCAGCGCCCCCTCCGAGGGCGTGTTCCCGGGTCTCGGGGATCCCCTCTGATGGCCCCGTTGCTCTCTTCCCCACCATCACTCCTTCTGGATCTCCCGGCTGGATCCTCTCTGTCTCAGCTTCTGGTTCTGCACTCTAGAAGTTTCCCCGACCTTGATTTTCCAGTCACGTTAACAATGTGATGCTAGCAACTGTACTTGTGATTCCTCAGAGCTCTGTGCTGACTTTATAAATGTAATACCTTCTTGAACACCTCTGCAGATCAGTATAATTTTTAAAACCCCCTTGTGTCCCAGAGCCAGCCTGGTCTCCAGCATGGACGTACGTGCTGTTTTAGCTACCAGCTCGTGTGATCGGGTCAAACCCCGGGAGGCCCCAGCCGTCGGCTTGGAGGTGATGGTGAGGATGGTCGGTGCTGGGCTGTGCTCCGGGAGCTGGGCCCCCTGGTTGTGGCCCCGGATGAGGAGCCAAGACAACGAACACCCTCTAACTTGGCCTTTTTTCAGATGCAGGAGGTTTAGGGTCAAGGCGTAGGTGGGCATTGGTGAAAATCTCCAAACTGCACCCCCAAGCCAGGCAGAAACCTGGAAACAAGCTTCCTGAATCTTCCTCCAGAATAAAGCCTTCAGTTCCTGCGGTCGCCCCTCGTGTGGGCTACAGATGTGCGAGCACCCGGAACCCCACCTCAGGCTGGGCGCGCTCACGGTAGGACATCCACACGACCCGGTGACACGGAGTAAGCGTAGAGCCCACGGACTTTCCACACGAGCTGCGTCAGCCTGTCGCCTTTCACAGCTGCTCAGTGCCACATGCTCATTCCCAGCCACCGTCCCCGCGTGTCTGGGCCTCCTGGGGATTCCTGATTTTGCCACCGTGGAGGCCCGCTTCCCTGGCCGTCCGGCCCCAGACGCCCCAGCGGAGGCCCCAGACGCTCCCGGGTCTTTAGTCTCAAAGGCCTGGCGTCTAGGTCCACGTGGGCCCTGACAGGCGGACCCCAGGCCAGCCCGCTGCGGGATGCTCTTCAAACCGGTGTGCACACACCCAGGCCCGTTGCTGGGGACAGCCCCACCCCAGGCCGTCCAAGCTGTTTTCCGGGTCCTGGCGTTCACAAGGCATCACAGCGATGGCGGATGCCACGTAAGGAGCGCGTGCTCGAGGACCCTGTCCTACGCCGAATGGAGTAAGAGCAAGCACCACACCGCCCGGGTTCCCATCCAGAGCTGCGGCTCCGGCAGGGGCGAGTCCTGGGACCCCCGTGCCTCAGTTTCCCCAGCTGTACAGGGAGACTGGGACAGCACTTAGCTCACAGCGTGGCTGTGAGGACTGAGTGGGAGGAGGCGGGCGAAGCTCCTGGTCTGGGTGCTTTGCGTGGTTACTGCTCGGCCAGCAGCGGCCGCCGACGCGGCTCAGCCCGCTCAGCCCCTCTGGCCGTTACGAAGGCGCGTGGCTGCAAAGGAATCGTGCCCACCCCGGTCCCACTTCTCCCCAGGGCACCCCATCTCAGGAACCAGCAGCCCCAGCAATGACCACCCCCCTGCCGGGAAACTCGGGGTCGGGCCGGCTCCCCGCTCACGCCCCCACCCTCTGGGGCAATGTCAGCGCTTGGGGACCCGGCTGCCCTTCCTGCAGCTGTCCTCGCCCTCTGGGGCTTGTCCTAACGTCGCTGGGACGCGGTGCCCTGGCTGGGATTTGGGGGGGCTGCAGCGTGAGCCCCCCAAGCGGGCGGCGGACAGCGCCTCGGCCTCCAGCCGGCCGGCCGTGACCGGTGCAAGCCCAGCCCGGCGGCGGGAACAAACAGGAACTGGCTCGAGCTGCTGTCCGCGAGCCCGGCCGTGTCCTCGCCGCGGGCTCCTCTGAGCGCTCCACCTCCCTATGCTGCCCCTCCACCGCCCCGCAGAGGAGCCCGAAACATTGAACTTCATCTTTCCTCCCGTGCGTTTGAGGCCCACCCCATGTGCCACCTCCAGGCTTGTCCTAGATGGGACAGCGTGTGTGGAATGTTCTAGACTGCCTTCGGTCACTACAGCCTCTCTGCACGGCTGCTGGTCTCAAGGTAGGCGCTGCTTAGCAAAGCCCGCCTGCCCTTCCCAGTTCCCCGCAGAGCCGAAGGGAGGGTGGGTTCCGTGTGTTCCCGTGTTCCCTCCTCTGTCCTGTGACCACCGGCCCCAGGCTGTGGGCACCGCCCACACAGGATGCCTCGCTGGGACGTCCAATGCCAAAGGAGCCACCACCCCAAGGCTCAGAGGGCCCTCGAAGCATTTCTCCCGGGCGGATGAGGGGACAGATAAACCAGAAAAGGAATGTTCCAGAAGGATCCAGGGAGGAAGGAGTCACACTGGTGGTGCATCCTCTCCACCATTCCCGGAGGTAGACAGGGAGTCCCCACGGCTCCACCAGGAAAACAGATGGGCAGCCAGTTCCAGCCCTGAGACTGAGACAGTGGCCCCCCACCCCGCCCCCCCCGCCAACACCTGTGCTTCCTCTCCATGATCCTCTGCTCACGAGCGGGTAGCCCAGGAGCCTGGAACCGTCTATGGGACACTCGTGGTCTGAGGGAGAAGTGGGCAGTGCTGCCCCGTCCCTCACCCCCGGGCGGGCCCGGGGCCGCTGCTCAGCTGCCCCAGGACAGGAGCCTGACGCCCCCACAAAGGCGATTCGGGGGGCACGATGGCCCCCGAGCACCCGGCGCTGCCCGGGGGAGCTCCGTGCCGGAGGGAGGGCAGGCCAGGGGCCCTCCCGCCACACGTTAGGGCCCCCCAGGCCCTACTCGGGGTAACAGGCTGCTGCAGGCAACACGAGCTCAGCCTGAGCCCTGTGGGGGAGGTGCCTGGGTGAGGAGGGTCTGGGGTGGGGGGTCCCGGCTCCGGCCGCCATACTGCAGTGCCGCGCGGCCCGGCAGGGGTGAGACACGGGCCTCCCGCCGGCTCCTTACCAGGAAGGCCTGGAACAGCTGGAAGGAGCCGAGGAGCCAGACATACAGGTGGGAGTGCACCTTGGTGGACGTGCCGTTGAAGGCGTTGGCCACCGCCAGGAAGGAGTAGGGCCCCACGGTGAAGAACTCCCAGTCGTAGGCGCCCGAGGTGGCAATGGTCTGGTTGGCCTCGAAGAGTCGGGTCCTCGGGTTCCACTTGTAGATGACGCTGTCGATGTTGTGGTTATCACCTGCCACCAAGCAGCCGCGTTGGCGGGGAAGGGCGGGGGGGGAGGCGGACTTCCGAAGCCTCACGGCGGCCGTGGCAGAGCCTTGGCCCGCCCTGGCCCTGCCCCAGGCCGGAGGGAGGGGTCTGTCCTGTGCACCGAGGCCTCTGGCCGCCGGGCACCTTCCCTGCTCACCCCGCACTCCCTGCTCCTGTGCCCAGAGGAAGGCCCTCCCTGGGTCTCCGCCTTTGAGGGCTCCAGACCTGTTGCCCCGCAGCCCTCTGTCCTGGAGATGGGGCCCCAACCCCTCCCTAGCCTCACTGCTCTCACTGTCCCCCACAGGTCAGGCCTTTGCACTTCCTGACCCTCTGCCCGGAAGGCCCCTCCCCGCAACATGCTCCCAGGAGCCCCCCTGGCTGGGCCAGCCTCTCCCGGAACACTCATTTCCCTGGGGAGCACTGGGGAGCGGGCCCTGGGGTCCCCCTGCCCGTGAGCCGGGAGGCAGGGCTCCTCCCCCGCGGGTTGTGGGCAGAGCTGCCCTGAACCCTGCCCTCGAGAGTTACACACCCAGGAAGGGCCTGCTGCGGTCACTCAGGCCGTCACTGACCCAGAAACCAGGCTTCCCGGCCTCTGCCAGGCCTGTCCCGCCCACCGCACCCGCTGTGTCACAGGGTCTGTGTGCAGAAGGCATGTTCTGGGGCAAACAAGCCCCCCCATCCTTCCAGCGAGTCTGTTCTCCCAGCCGGAGTCCACGCCGACGTCCCTCCAGGGGACACGGGCATGCCGGGCGAACAGCTGGCCTTCACACCTGCCTCAGTCACCTCCTCCGGGAAGGTTAGTCACTTGGTTGGTTGGTCAGTCAGTTAGTCACCCGACTGGGTGGTCAGTTTCGAATGCGGCAGTCTGTGCAGCCGGGCCGCCTGCGTTTCGGTAACCACTCTCCCAAGGGCAGGCGCCCGCACGGACTGTGCCTGCCTGTCCGCCTGCCCGGATGCTGCCAGGGTGCTCAGGTGTGTTCGCCCTCAGACGTCACTGTCAGATGGCCAAGCCCGAAGAATCAGGCTGGGTGTGGCTTATTATAACGTGGTCATGAGGTGAGGGTTCGGGTGAGTCAGCCCCCTGCCCCGTGGCTCCCTTCCAGGTGGGAGGCCACAGCCTACCTTCCCTGTGGTTGGCCACGGCCAAGAAGTGCTCCCCGGCCATCTCGAAGGCTTCCCAGTCCCGGGCGCTGTGGGTGGGGACCCTCTGGTACGGTGTGAACCTCAGTTTCCTCTGGCTCCATTTGTAAATGACAGAGAACTCCTGGCCCTTTTCATTCGGTTCAAAATTAGCCACAGCCAGGAATACCTGAAAGACAGGACCCGGGACACTTGGTTCTTGTCACCTGTGCGAGGGGCCTGGGGCTGATCTTCTGAGCACCCGCGTCTCTGTCCGATGGCCACTGTCTCTCCGGATCTGTCAGTCACGTTCATCAGTCTGTTGTCTCCATTTTTGTCTCCAAAATCAGAAACGGCTCTGTGCACAGAACTGCGCTCATCACCCGGACGAGCAGAAACACACGATCACGTCCTCCTCCCGCACAGACGCACATGTTGTCACATAGCTGAGTAGGACACACAAGTGCCCAACATGGGATGGGACCAGGAGGCAAGCCGGCTCAGCGTGTGGGGTGAGTCTGCTGAGCCCGGAAGCGAGCGTGCGCTCAGTGAGCCCGGCACCTGCTTTGGTGAAATGTTTTTCTGAATTTCCTAATATTTCTTGACGTGAAGTTAACATTTCTTAGGGGCCCATGGGTGGCTCAGCTGGTTAAGCGTCTGACTTTTGATTTCGGCTCAGGCCATGATCTCATGGTTGGGGGATCGAGCCCCGCACTGGGTTCTGAGCTGACAGTGTGGTGCCTGTTTGGGATTCTCTCTCTCTCCCTCTCTGTCTCTCTCTGTCTCTCTCTCTCTCTCTGCCCCTCCCTGTTCGTGCTCTCGCACTGTCTCTAAAATAAAAAAAGAAAAGTTTGCATTTTTTATAATGAAAATGCCGTCAACCAAAAGGCCAGAGCACCAGTCGCTCATCCGCCATGCTGGACTGGGAGCACGGCTGGGCCATGGTGGGCGGTGGCCTAGAGGTCTGTCTGACCTGCTGGCTGTTTCCTCGTCAGGGCGCACCTAGTGAGGGCAGGGCCGCACGGGGCACACTCGTGTTGGCGAGTGAGCGCTTTGGAGGACGGGCACGGGGTCGTGGGGGGAGGCCCTCGGCCACTGCCACTGCAGCAGAGGGTGTCGGGGCTGGGGAGAGAGTGCATCGTGCTGGGGGCGCAGCTCAGACACCCCCTCCCCCCACATCATGCCCTCTGGCCCATCCAGCCCCGGCTGGGAGGGGGCTGTCCGTGAGGGTCTCACACCCTCACCTAAGGGCCTGTCCCTCTCCGTTTGGACACCGCATGTCCTCGGGACCTGGAGTGAGTCAAGGAGACAGGACCATGGTCGTCCGCATTCTGAGATGCTTTCTGCGCTGTTGACCAGCTCATCAAGTGAGCCCACAAGCTCTCAATTTAGTCACAATGGGTCTACACGGACTTGACAGCATCTTAGGAATGGTCTTGTCTTTATTTTGTAGGAAGCCACAGGCACGTCACACTTTGGACTTAGAGACCCCACCAAGTGTCTGATCTCGAAAGCCCCTCAGAACCTAAGTAAGACTTTGAAACCACGAGGAATACCCTTCCCGTATTTCCTACGGAAGGGGTCCCAACCTTTGGACTCCGGGTTTCTCCAAGATAAGAGGGATTGAGAAACTCGCCGAACGCAGACTTGCCTTCTTCCCAATGGTGAAGTGTCTCCAGGACTGTGCCTGGTGCGTGGGAATGTTCTGGTAGGAAGCGAACTTCCCATCGGTCCACTTGTAGATGGCGGACGTGGCTTTGCGGTTGGCGGCTGCCACGAAGAGCCCGGCCTCGGGGATGGCAAAGACCTCGATGCCCAGCGTCTCCGAGTCGGTGAACAGGCTTTGATGTTCTTCCACGTAGTCCAGTTTCTCCTTGGCTGGCGGTAGAAACGTGGAGACCCGCTTAATGCCTGCCCGCATGGAAGCCGACAGGCCGGCTTGGGAGTGTGACCCCAGGGCCCCGAGCCGTGACCCCCCAGCATCAGCGACTGCCAGGGAGGTTCGCCTGGGGGCATTTCACCCTCACGGAGAGGCCATCAGGGGAGGCTGTGCGGGATTTAGGGTCTATGCGGCGTCCAGGGACGCTGAAGGGACGGAACTGACGTGTCGCGTCCTCATTAGACATTTCCCACGCCCGCTGCTCTACACAAAGCTGTGCCCATGAGCAGCGGGGTCAGCGGCCGAGGGCGGCGTGGGTGACTGTCCAGAGCGCCCTGGGTGACCTCGACCCCCCTGTCCCCATGCGGAAGGCTCTGCCGGAAGGTCCCAGGGGAACAACATACATCCAGGCTCCTGGTGTCATCCCCAGCATGTGTGATGGGGGCAGACACGGCACGAGGAGGGTGTCCCCTCGACGGGGACTGGACGTGCACGAGGGGAGGGGTGGAGAGCCCTGCTCCCCTCGTGTCCCGCCCAGGAGGACACGCGTCTCCAGGTTGAATATGCAGCCTGCTGTCCGGGGGGTCCTCCTTATTCCCAAGTCGCACTGGCTCCAAGAAGAACCCCCGAGTCCCCAGAGCCCCAGGAGGCGCGCCGCCCTCCTCACCTGCTAACACGGAGACCCACTGGCTGCCCACACACAGGAACAGCCCCTTCCGGCTAGCATCAAACCAGAACTGGGCATCCTCCATTTTGGTGCATGGAGGCCGGGACCCCAGAGTCACCTTCAGGTCGGTTTCTGGGGGGAACAAGGAAGGGGAGTGTCCAGAGAACATGCTCCCTGGAGGAGGACCCCTGACCCAGGCGGTCCCACCTTTGCCTCTGCGTGTGGGGACCATGAGGACACGGGGTCTCCATTGTGGCCTGCTCCCCCCCGGGTGTCCGCGGGGCGGGATGCACGCCGTCCGGCTTCCTGCCAGCCTCACTGCCCACTCCAGAGGGCGGCCCTCCTCCCCTTGGAAAAGCCTTGGTGATCGCACACCCACTGCCCTGCTCGCCGCTCAGACCTCTCTCCCTGGCGTCAGTTTATCTAAGCTTGAGTTTTGCCTAATTCCGTGGTGTTTGACCCCATCGCTGCTGGTGGTTACACCTCATTTCGAGCCAGGTCCGCACGTCCCGGTGATGCCGCGTGGCGGATTCACAGCGACATCGTTGTCGCCGCCAAGCCGACACCCGCACCTCGACTGTGACCCGGGGCACCTCGACCTGATGTAGCGCCCAGCAGAGCCCCAGGGGGGCAGTCCTGCTTCCCGCCTATTCTGAGATGACGGGACACATGTGCAAAATTCCCGTGGAGCATATGAAAATTCCACTGTGCAGGGAAATTATTTTCCTCTGTGTCTCTTCTTTTACTATAGCAATCATTCAAAGTTGTACCGTTCCTACAAAATTATTCAACATAGCATGACAACAAACTGCATCAGTTTATAGACTATTAAAGCTCTCTCCAGCACGATAGAAAAAGCTACAGCTGGTGCTTCTGGGAGTTTGGAAACCCCATCCCAGGAGGGGAGTGTAAAGGCGGATGTGCTCGAGGGGCGTCCCCTGACTGGTGAGGCATGACCGTGAGGCTGAGGAGGGGCTGGGGCTGTCTCCCCCGCCTCGCTGAGTGGTGGGGGCTGCAGTGGGGGCGGGATCCGGCTTCTCCGGGGTGGGGTGTGTGGCTTACATACGCAGCATGGTGACTTCAGCCCCAGGAGACACGAGCACGGGCTAAATGCTGGGGACCCTCTGGGCTGGGGGGGTCACGGACAATTGGAATGTGCCTCTCACAGTTTGGGGTCCCCGCTGGGGTGGGGGCTGAGGCTTAGATGCCTATCAGAGAGGGATGGGGGTAAAGACCCCAAATACTGCTCTGGGGACAAAACAGGCAGCAGATGGAAGTCAGAGGCTCAAGAGAAGGAAGACAAGGTCAGGGAATAGCACTGGGGGTCCAGGAAGAACCAGGTTCTCTGGTGGCCATTGGGCAGGACCCCTGCCCATCTGCATCAAGCCAGTCCCTTTGTCAACTTAATAGTCACCTTCCTTTCTCTGTTACCAAGTGACAAGGCTCTCAGGGTCTGCCATAAGTGAGGGGGAGTGGGTGGCTTTGACCTACTAACCATAGGGATATTTTAGCACCTCATTATCTTCTGGCTTCCCCGGGGGGCCCTGCAGGACTGGGGGGATGGACAGCACAGCCAACTCGGGACTCCTGCAGGGACAGAGCCTTGCGGTGGCATCCGAGCCAGGCAGTAAGACCAGCTGCCTCACCAGGCCCTGCAGAGAGACGGAGAGCATGCTTAGAACATCGTTGCCAGAGAGTGCTTGGACCCACCCCTGGGCTCAGCCTGGCCAGACCCTGGTGGAGGGGTGAGAATGAGGACTGAGGGTCTGGCCACCTCAAGAGCCAGGTGAGAAGAATCTGCTAATAGGTTGGGAGTGTGGGGAGCACTGGGAGCAATGGTGGATAATTCTACACTGTTCTAAGGCAACAGCCATGGAAGGAGTTTTTCCTGTGAACCAGCCTAGAGTGACTGGGCTGCATTGTTCATCCATCCATCTGTCCATCTCTCTGTCCATCCATCACCCATCCATCCATCCCCCCATCCCCCCACCCATCCATCCATCCCCCATCCATTCACCCATATGTCCATCCAT